TCCACTATCACAACCGAGTTTTCTACGCTCACCCGAATAACGTTTACACCTCACAATTTCATTCACGGAGTTCAGTCCCCACGACCTACGTCTCCGCTCCTCACCTCGAGGAAATATCTACTACGCACTCAGTTTTCTAGCTAACCGAAAACTTTACAATCTGATAATATAACAACAAATTAGTTTGTTCTCTAATACAAGGCGAGAACTCAATTAAGCACAACTCACTGTTATAACCTCTCACAACCCCAATATACTATGTATGTAAATACTAAAAGCTCAATGTGGGTGTGTGTAACAATGAGATAAATCAAATCTAAACTCAATATAAAACTAGCTTTAATAAAATGATAAACAAACAAATAGGTATAAAGCTAGAAATATAGTTTAGAAAACTTCTCAATGGATCAAGAGATTAAGGGAGGATAGTTGGATGCTCAAGCACCAATAGGATCTCCTCAAGCTCTTGTGAAATTGATTTCATAAACTCAAAACTCTCAATTGCTTAAAAGCTTCTTAAACACTCTTTTAAACAAACACTAAACAAATTTAAACCATTGTTAAACTCTTTTAAAACATTCTCTTGGGTTGTTTTGAAAGATGAGGGCAAGGGGGTATTTATAGCCTTCCAAAACCTCAGCCAAAAACCCAAAACAAAAGACCAAAAAACCAACAGAATCGGAAATCAGATTCTTTACAAAATGACCGTTGGAGTGAACGGTGGTTGACCGCGAGCCACTTTCGAAACTCAGAAATTTCCAGAGAACGTGGCGGTCGACCGTGGGGGGGGCCGGGGAGCCACTTTCGAAACTCAGAAATTTCCAGAGAACGTGGCGGTCGACCGTGGGAATTTTCGAGCTGACGGTCGACCGTGGCAGTCGACCGTGAAAGTTTCTGATGGCTCCGTAGGGAAAAACAAAGGCGCGGTCGATCATGACGGTCGACCGTGAACTGATACATGAAAATACAGGTTTGAGAAACTATTTTCTGATTTTAAAACCCTATTTAAAAATATCAAATAAATTCCAAAAAATGTAAAACTTTGGGGAATAATCGTAGACATAATAATACACATGCTACAAAAATTGGTTATTAGAAAGGACTTCCCAAATAAAAAATATCATTATTTTACAAAATAGTCCAAAACATAAAATTATGAACATATGAGTTTTGATATTTTAGCTTAACCATGTTTTAAAACAATACAAAATGATTTTATAGACTTAAAGAAAGATATAAACTATTGTTATGAAGTTTATAAATAATAAATGTAGTATTTTATCAAAATACACATATAATGCACTAAAACATGATTTTATTGAACTAAATAAAATTGATATTATATATATATATATATAACTAAATATACATAGAAACCAAAACTTAACTTATGTATATATATATATAACTATAACTATATATATATACAAAGAAACCAATAAAATGTGTGTGCATATTATATTGAGTTTAAAGTACCAACACACATAATATAACACCTAAACTAAATGTCACCCAAGCAATCTTGATCTTCAATAAGCTTGACTTGGTACACTTGCGGATGAAGCTTAAACTTGGATCTTGAACTTGAATTGTATTGCTTCACTCCATAATTCCGCCAACCTCTATTGAATATGATTATAAAAGCGTAATTCCATCCATCCTCCAACATATTGTTTGCCTAGAATAAATATAAAGCATAAACACTAGACAAACAATATTAGATGTAAATTATTTGTAAATCATCATCAAAATAAGAAGGCCAACAAAGGAGATTGGTGCATTCATAACCTGTCTAAGAACAGATAGAGGGGGAGAATTCACTTCCAATGAGTTTGGAGAGTTCTGTAAAGCACATGGTATAAGCAGGCAGTTGACGGCGGCATATACTCCGTAGCAGAACGGCGTTCCCGAAAGGAAGAACAGAATGATCATGAACACAATGCGATCAATGTTAGCTGAAAAGAAGGTTCCAAAAGCATTCTGGCCTGAAGCTGTGAAGTGGTGTGTGCACATTCAAAATAGAAGTCCTACAGTAGCTGTGGAAGGGAAAACTCCTGAGGAAGCATGGTGTGGTGTGAAACCAACAGTGGAGTATTTTCGAATCTTTGGGTGCATAGCTCATGTCCACATACCAGACCAGAAAAGAAGCAAGTTGGATGATAAGAGTAGGAAGTGTGTGTTCTTAGGTGTTAGTGATGAATCAAAGGCATATAAGTTGTATGATCCGGTTATGAAGAAGATTATTGTAAGCAAGGATGTTGTGTTCGAAGAAGAAGAGAGCTGGGACTGGGGAAGAACTAAAGAAGAGTGTAGATTGGATGTGCTAGAATGGGAAGACGAAGATGAAGATGAAGAAGAGAGTGATGGTGGAAGAAGAGTGTAGATTGGATGTGCTAGAATGGGAAGACGAAGATGAAGATGAAGAAGAGAGTGATGGTGAACCAAACGAAGAGGAGCAGAATGAAGCAATGGGAAGACGAAGATGAAGATGAAGAAGAGAGTGATGGTGAACCAAACGAAGAGGAGCAGAATGAAGCAATAGAAGGTCTGAATATCAATACAAATACTGCAAGCAGTAGCTCCAGTAGTAGTTCGAGTGGTACAACTCCAAATGAAGAGAATGATGCTCCGGTTAAAGGGGGGAGGGGTACAAGAAACAGGAGAGCACCGACCTGGATGGTGGACTACGCAATAGGTGAAGGGTTATCAGAGGACGAAGGTCTGAATGCAATGGTGACGGTAACTGAAGATGATCCGTTCTTGTTTGAAGAAGCAGTTAAAAGAAAGCAGTGGAGAGAGGCTATGGCAGCTGAAATTGAGGAAATCGAACGGAACAAAACATGGGAGTTGACATATTTGCCTAGAGGAGTAAATCCTATTGGAGTTAAGTGGGTTTTCAAAACCAAACTTAATAAAAATGGGGACGTAGAGAAGTACAAGGCAAGATTAGTAGCTAAAGGATATGCACAACGTTATGGAGTGGAAAAATGGGGACGTAGAGAAGTACAAGGCAAGATTAGTAGCTAAAGGATATGCACAACGTTATGGAGTGGATTATACTGAAGTTTTTGCACCTGTGGCCAAGATTAGTAGCTAAAGGATATGCACAACGTTATGGAGTGGATTATACTGAAGTTTTTGCACCTGTGGCGAGACTTGACACCATTCGAGTGATACTCGCAATGGTAGCACAGTGTGGATTGGGAGTTTTCCAACTTGACATGAAGAGTGCTTTTCTTCATGGAGAACTCAAGGAAATGATGTTTGTGCAACAACCAGAGGGGTTCGTTAAGAAGGGTGAAGAAGGAAGAGTTTACAGGTTGAAGAAGGTGCTATACGGCCTCAAGCAAGCACCGAAGGCGTGGTATAGCAAGATTGAGACCTATTTTGTATGAGAAGGTTTTGAGAGATGTTCCAGTGAGCACACCGTGTTTACAAAGTCAAAAGGAGGTAAAGTGTTAATCGTAAGCCTTTATGTAGATGATTTAATCTTTACTGGAAGTGATATAAGCATGTGTGATGAGTTTAAAAATTCAATGATGCTGGAGTTTGATATGTCCGATTTGGGAAGAATGAGACACTTTCTTGGAGTAGAAGTTTTGCAGAGCTCGAATGGTATTTTTATCTGTCAGAGGAGGTATGCTTGTGAAGTATTAGCAAGGTTTGGTATGAAAAATGGTAATGCCGTGAAAAATCCAATTGTTCCAGGCAGAAAGTTGTCGAAAGATGAAGGAGGGACCAAGGTGGATGGAACTTTGTTCAAACAGGTGGTTGGAAGTCTCATGTACTTAACTGTGACTTGACCTGACTTGATGTATGGTGTGAGTCTCATTAGCAGGTTTACATCTAGTCCAACTATGTCACATTTGTTGGTTGCCAAAAGGATCCTGAGATACTTGAAGGGAACAACCGAGCTAGGCATCTTCTACAAGAGGGGAGCAAACAGTTCAGAGCTCTTGGCCTTTACGGACAGTGGATATGCTGGTGATCTTGATGATCGAAGAAGTACTTCTGGGTTTGTGTTCATGATAGGGTCTGAAGTTGTTTCATGGTCCTCCAAGAAACAACCAGTGGTGACTTTGTCTACCACCAAAGCCGAGTACATTGCAGCCGCTCTCTGTGCTTGTCAGTGCATTTGGCTTAGGAGAATTTTGGAGAAACTTGGAATAGAGGAGAAGAAAGGTACTGTGATTAAATGTGATAGTAGTTCTGCTATATAGTTATCTAAGAATCCAATTTTTCATGGAAAGAGCAAGCATATTCATGTGAGGTTTCACTTTCTGAGGGATTTGGTGAATGATGGAGTTGTGGAGTTGAACTGCTACAATTCTCAGAATCAAGTCGCAGATTTAATGACGAAGCCTCTCAAGTTAGAGCAGTTTGTGAGACTTAGAGGCATGCTTGGGATGGTCAGTTCATCGGAAGTAAGCTAAGCACATATGTTTTAGCTTAATAGAGGAAATGTTAGTTAGAGTTTGTTGCTTCTGTTTTTAGTTTACTAGTTCGTTGATAACATCTGTCCTTCAGGTTTGTTTCTTTACGCTGTAGGTTGATAAAACTTAGGTTTGTTGTTTGTTATTTCCTTCTCTTGTAAAGGCTATTTATAGTCCCCAATTATAGAATTCAATAACACATTCCTCCATTCTTTTCGTTTTGAACTTTCTGAGTTTCAGATTTCCAACAAAGTGAACCACACGAATAGGATACACTTCTAACATATTTAGAGAGAGGGGGAGAAAGAGAGCCTACACATAAATTAAAAGGGAAAATTGTAAACATACTATTTGAAAAGAGAGATTACACATAATGACATAAATAATACATTTGGAATATTCTCTTTGAAACATATGTGATCTCTAATACCAAATACAAAAACGCGTCACAAATAACGCGCCACTCTTTCACCCTATTAAATAACACACCACTCTCTCACCCTATTAAATCATTCATTCAATAAGGCCCAAAAAAAAAGGAAAAAAAAGAAACCCACTCATAGCACATCAAACTCCAACATATCCAACGCTAATAGGCTCAAAAACATGATTGGCATCCAACTCCAACTCCCTTGCCAACTCCGGCCATATAAACGCGGACACAAACCAAGAATTATCGTCCCTCCCACTCGACACAATGTTCACATACCCCGCACTCAACCGATCAAGTGCCGAGCAAAACATCCCCAACGCCGGCAATCCGAACCCAAAATCCATTCCCATCACCGGCATATTACAGCACGACGACACTAGTATCGCCGGCGAACAATCACTAAGCATTAGCTTGGGCACAATTTTCTCGGTTCGATGGCATTCGATCCAATCGATCAAGTCTAGGAAATGTTCACGGTTGGCGACCTCATTGATTGCGTTAGATACGGTACTTGCGATGTGGGCTAGCGACTTTTCGATCAGTTCTTCGATGGCCGCGTTTCCTACCGCCATCGAACATACATTTCCTGTGAAATTCAGTATGGATATTGATTCTTCGTCGGTCATCCACTTTCGTCCATCTACTGCCCATCCCATCTTGCAACGAGTGTATTTGCAGTACTTGTCGAATGTTCTCGCCATCATTTTCCATAGGTATGCCGATAAGGCCTCCGTTCTGGTTCTGTTTGGTCCGTATTTGCTTGAAGCTTCCTGTTTTAGTTTTTCAAGGGTCGAACTCTTGACTAAATAGAGATGCCTCTCCGTAGCACAACCTTCAGGCATTTTGAACGCATCGCCCGTGTTACACACGGTGAATATCCGATCAATCCTTTCACTACACATCAGTGGCGTGCGAGGGCGGAGGAAATGTCTCTCGTTGTTAAACTCCATGGAGGGCAAAAGTTTCTTAGTTTGGGCAATTTCGCACCAAACAGATAAAAACTTGATGAATCCAGAGGCGTCGGCAAGGAGATGATCGAAACACCAAGAAATTGAAAAACCACCGCAAGTGTAGCTCGTAATTTGAACGCTCAAGGGATACTTATTGTCGAATTTGAGAATAATTTTTTGAATACTATTGTTTTGTTCATAGAAATCAAGCTTAAACAACGAAATGTTCGTTGATGCTTCAATAAGGCGAACACCCTTATTGTTGCATAGAACTTCAGGTTCGCCGGAGGAGTCTTGAGAGATTTCACCGGCGAAGAGAGGAAAGTGGTCGAGAGCTTGAGAGAGCGGGAGCTTAACGGCGTTTAAAACAGAAGAAAAATGGCCGGATAATGGTTTGTTGTAGACGTAGAAGATGATGATTGGTATACCGCCCATGATGCGGTCCAAGTTCGAAATAGGGAAGATCGACATTGGGTTTTTTGAATGATTGGTCGCACGGACAACAGTCTCACTGATAAATTTGACGGTAAGGTTGGCCGGAGATTGATCGACGGCTACCATATTTTTGAGAGAGAGAGTGTGTTAGAAGAGTTATATTATATATTTTGAGAGTTTTGGTATCACTTGATGAGGCAAGTGTTTGTGAGTATGTATAACAAATGTAACGGCCGGCGCAAGTGTTGTCCTTTTGCACGGAGCATCATAGAGCTAACTGATACAGAATAGTAGTTGTATTCTGTGTCTGTGAATGGTTTGAAGGCTTCATGTTTCTTAAGGAAAAGTGTATTATAAAGAATTATTCCTTAAATATTTTTAATAGAGGCTTCTAATATTATCTTGGTGCATTGAAGACCCTTTTATTCTAAGGAAAGTGTATAGAAGAATTATTCCTTAAACTATTTTTTTAATAGAAATTTCAAGTTATCTTGGTAGTTTGCTTAAATTTAAATATCAATGTATGAGGAATAACGTGGTACGCGCATGTTCTCTAGTATTTACCATATTTTTTTCAGACTATATATATCCTTTATTTATATTATTAACTGTTGTCATGTTTCTCAAAAGTTCTCTTGTGACCTTTATGCATGTTAAAAATTGATCATTTACATCCTTTAAGTGTGAAGAAGCACGTGATTGTGGGGGGGCCACAATCAAGCGGAAATCGCAGAGAGCAAGCTCAAATGCGGTCCACTTAATTCCCCAACTCAGCTATATATATACCTTTATTCTTTCCTAGGTTTTGAGTGCAAGGAGATTTAATTGTGGTTGCATGCAAGTGAGCAGAAGAAAAGCGGCGTGCAAGCAGCAAAGGGGAAAACAAAAGTAAAAGTCGGATGGTGATCCTTCGGCTGAAGAAGAGAAAATCGCAGAGGCTTTTCGGCGGGTTTTTGGTGGCATCCTTTTGAGAGAGAGATTGTGAGGGATTTGAGAGATAGTTTGAGGGTTTATTTGTGAGATCTTGTATGATTGTAAACCCTATTTGTTTTCTCTGCCTCTAATTATAGATCCCCTTTCCTTGCCCCGTGGACGTAGGCAATTTGTCGAACCACGTAAAACTTGTGTGATTTGCTGTTTGTGGCCATCGTAATAGTTTATTAGGTTCCCTCGACAGATGAGTCTTAGAACTGATGAGAGGAAGAGCTGATATCTCACTTTGTTGAGATATTCACTTCAGATTCTTGTTTCCTTAGTAAGATGGGAATTCTTATTGCGATCTTTCTCTCTTATTGTGCACCAGAAACTCTGCCAAAATTTTCGCTACGCACAACAAGTGGTATCAAAGCTCGGGCTACGCTTGGGCTACTTGGAGGAGTAGATTGTTTTGAAAGCTCGTCTAGGGCTTTGTTTGGTGATAAAGATGGGATCTTTTGGTAAAAGATTCTATCTTTTCAGTTTTGGATCTATTCTTCATTCGTTGGTGCGTTGAGAAAGATGTCAGGAAAAGAAGGTGCTTCGGGTGTCGAGGGTGGTACTTCTGGCGTGAAGACCATTCAGAGTTTGAATATCCACTTTATGAAGATAGATGTGGAGAAGTTTAATGGCACAAATAACTTTGGATTATGGAGATGCGAGGTTTTGGATGCGCTGAACACGCAGAATTTGGAGGATACCTTGGAGTTAGATGGCAAGCCAGATGATATTGAAGAGAAGGTTTGGAAGAAAGGATACCTTGGAGTTAGATGGCAAGCCAGATGATATTGAAGAGAAGGTTTGGAAGAAGATGAATCGAATGGCTTGTGGTGTGATTAGGTCTTGTTTGACTCAAGATCTAAAATATAATGTGATGAATGAGACTTCTGCGAAAAAGATTTGGGAGATTCTCGAAAGCAAGTATCTGACAAAGAGTGTTGAGAACCGCTTGTATTTGAAGAGGAGACTTTATCGTTTTCAGTTGAAGAAGGAAACCTCAATTAGTGATCACATGAACACCTACACAAAGCTTTTTACGGATTTGGCGAATGTGGATGTCATGATTGAAGATGAGGACAAAACGTTGCTATTGTTGAGTTCCTTGCTCGACGAGGAATATGAGACCTTCGTCCTTACTCTAATTAATGGGAATGCATCTCTTTCGTATAGTAAGGTGACTGATGCACTTGTGAATTATCAACTTCGAAAGAATGATAAGGAGGCTTCAGTTGAGCCGGTAGCAGAGGCGTTGGTCACAAGAGGGAAGGGTCTAAACTGGAAGAATTAGAAGTCACAGTCTAGAATAATACATCCTACAATTGGAAAAGATCAGTGTGTTTGGTGTAAGGAGACTGGTCATTGGAAGAAAGACTGCCCAAAGCTCGACGAATGGATGAAGAATAAGCAGAAGGGAAAAGGGAAGTAACCATTATCAGAAGCAAACATCGTTATATCGGATAGTAATATTTCTGGCTCTTCTATTTATTCGCTTTCTATCAGTCCTATAAATAGCTATTCGGAAGAATCTGAATGAATATTGGATAGTGGTGCGACCTATTATGTGTGGCCTAGAAGAGAATGGTTCTCCAGTTTTGAAAAGCTGGATAGTGGTGTGGTGTACATGGCTGATAACCGTGCATGCTAGATCCTTAGGATATGAAGAATTCGCATCAAGATGTTTTGACCGGACTGTTAGGGAGTTACATGATGTGAGATATGTTCCTTCCTTGAGGAAGAACTTGATCTTGATTGGAGCTTTGGTTGGAGAGGGTCTGAATGTTCGAATTGAGGACATGGTTCTTAAGATTATGGAAGACTCTCAGATTGTGATGAAGGGCGTTAGGAGGAATAACCTATATTACTTGACTGGAGGTATAATGACAGGTGGAGAAGTAGCGACTTCTATTGATTTGACTAGACTGTGATATTTGGGGCTTGGCCATTCCAGTATTGATTCCTTGCATAGATTAAAAGAGGGTATGAAGACCTACAGTTTGAAATCCAGTGAACATGTTGATGTGAGCAAGAAGACCGAGGTGAAGTTTGACACCTCTATTCATCGTGCTAATGGTCGTTCTGGAGGTGTTCACGTGGATGTTTGGGGGTCTTCCAAGGAGGTATCATTAGGAGGTAATAGATGTTTGGTTTCCTTTGTTGATGGCTGTTCTAGGCGTGTTTGGATTGTAACCAAATCCTTATTGAAGAAAGTCCTAGTAGTCTCTAATAGATTGAAGAAGTGTAAGATGGACAGAAAGGTGAAGGTACTTTATTCTGGTTTTGGTAGGAGGTACAAGATGGACCTATTTCTGTATTGGAACCGAGCTCATGGCATTTCGAGACACTTTGTTGGAAAGGAAATCTTGGGGCAACTAGATAGGGTGGCAAATTTGGAGAGTCGTATCTTGCTGGAGGAGGATCGGTGTTTGTTGTCAAGCAATGGTCTGCAGAAGAGTTTCTGAACTGAGGCTTCGACATATTCGAGCCACCTTATTAGGTGTTTGGTCTGGTAGTGTTGTAACGCTCCGTCCCGGAATCCCGGACTCGGTACGTTATTAGATCTGATGGACTGGCCTCACAAACCACCACATGTCTTTTCAGCACGTTTTGTCCTCACTCACATGCTCCCTGGAAAACTTCCCAGGGGGTCACCCATCCTAGAATTTCTCCAGGCCAAGCACGCTTAACTTTAGAGTTTCTAAGAGTTGGGTTCCCAAAAAAATGCATCTTGGTGGTATGAGTATTCCGATCAAATCTATCAATACTAATCACATCACCCTCTCAAGGATTGGGGTATTACAAACTCCCTCACTTAAACTCACAACGTTCTCGTTGTGCCAAATCATATCATCCAAGACCGTACCATCCGTGTGAGATTCTAGAGGTGGCTCCTACGGCCTCAAGAGGTGGCTCCCGCCCTCTCGACGTAGCACTTTGCGCCGCATAGCACTTAGCTCTCACAATTCCGGTTGGCTTTGCTCTGATACCATTTGTAATGCTCCGCCCTGGAATCCCGGAGTCGGTACGTTATTAGATCTGATGGACTGGCCTCACAAACCACCACATGTCTTTTCAGCACGTTTTGTCCTCACTCACATGCTCCCTGGAAAACTTCTTAGGGGGTCACCCATTCTAGAATTTCTCTAGGCCAAGTACGCTTAACTTTGGAGTTTCTAAGAGTTGGGTTCCCGAAAAGAAGATGCATTTTGATGGTATGAGTATTCCGATCAAATCTATCAATACTAATCACATCACCCTCTCAAGGGTTGGGGTATTACAAGTGTCACTTCGGTTGAGGTTATGATGAGGGAGCTAATTGACTCTCAGCAGATGGAGAGTTTTGGACAGACCTTAGATGTATCGCAGCGAGTGGAGAGTGATGATACTTTATATTTGGTGGATATTACTCCACATTCTCTAGATCATTCTGCATCATTTGGGATTTCAACTGAGGTGACACAGTTTGGAGATCATTTGTTTTTGGATGCAGATGATGATGAGTTGGTTGATTTGAGTGCAGCTGGTAGATGTAGTTTGGATATGGCTATTGGTTCATCTCAAGAGGAGGTGTTTGGTTTGTTTCTCTTTGGGGGCCATTAGGAGATCTATCGTCCGCAGATTTGTTGGTGATATTGGAGAATGGTTCTGAACTCTTCTATTTGATTAAGGTCGTTCGCGGCCATTTGGCTGAACTACATTCGGTTTGATTCCTTAGACAAGAGGATATGTAGGTAGTCTTTACGATGCAGGCAGGTTGGATTAGTTGATGGGGGTGAGATTGTTTAGACTCTCGTTCGGGTTCCCGACTTATTGTGGATTGAGTCCGTTGTAAAACCCCAAAATTTTAAATATTTTATAATAAATAATAAATATGTTGTATTATAAAAAAAAGAAATAATATTTATTAATGTTTTAGTATGCTAAGAATTGATTTGAGATCAATTCAATGTATATATGTGAATATAGAAGTGATATCATGCACACGTGCACGGGCCTGAATCTAGGAAAAACAACCAGTTAAAGTATATACATTTTACATACTGAAAAAGTTAGAATATGGAAAAACTTAAAATACTAAAGTTATAGGTATCTTCAAGATATTTCTAAAAAATCTTATATCACCTCATTCTGAGGTCGGACGTGAAAGTTATGGC